TCTCCTTGATCATCCATGAGCTTTAGATTTACTTCCATTGGGAAATTTGAAGGTTGAGCACCCAAGTAACCAACATCATTTATAATCTCCAAGGTATATTTTCGTTGAGAGATTACAATGCCTTCTTTGGACCTTGCAACTTCCAAGCCAAGAAAAAACTTTAGAAGACCAAGATCTTTGATGTGGAATTGTTGATGCAAAGAATTTTTGAGACTTTGTATAGCAATTGCATCATTTCCTGTTATCACTATGTCATCTACATAGATGAGTACCATAGTTGTAGATGGACCTTTAGTTTTCACAAATAAAGAATAATCTGAATGTGATTGAACAAAACCAGCCTTTTTGATAGCATGAGAGAATTTGGCAAACCAATTTCGAGGGGCTTGTTTAAGTCCATAGAGGGACTTGTGCAGTCGACATACAAGCTTCTCCCCCTGTCGACAAAGACCCGGTGGTGGAGTCATATAGACCTCTTCCTCTAAATCACCATGAAGGAAGGCATTGGTCACATCCATTTGATGTAAGGGCCATTGTTTGGCGGCAGCAACAGCAAGAATACATCGAACAGTGGTTAACTTGGCAACAGGAGCAAATGTCTCAGTGTAATCCAAGCCTTCTTGTTGAGAAAATCCTTTGGCAACTAATCGTGCTTTGTAGCGTTCAATCGTGCCATTAGAATTATATTTGATACGATATACCCATTTGCTGCCAATGGGACGATGACCAGTAGGTAAAGGAACCAAAGACCATGTCTTTTGAGTAGTAAGAGCATCAAGTTCGTGTTGCATGGCCTCTTGCCATTTCGGATCTAAAACAGCCTGTGCATATGAGGTGGGTTCGAGAACACTGGAGATAGCATTGACAAAGTGTTTATGTTTAGAAGATAAAGAATCATATGAAATGTAGTTACTTAAAGGATACCGAGTACCTGACTTGGTTGAAGATTTCTGGTTGGAGGTTGCATTTGATGGCATTGTACTCACTTGTCCACAATGGAAATCTTGAAGAAGAATGGATGGTTTTCTGGTGCGTTCACTTCTACGGAGAGAAGGGGCTGGGGATGAGACAGGAGAGGAGGAATTTTCTGTGGAAGCGGTCTCAGGTAATGAGGAACGAAGGGAAGTTGGAAGAGAAGGGGAATCAGCAGGGTAGTTGGTTATCTCAGGTTGAGAAATGGATGGAGCTGGTGAGGATTCTGTGGTATGAAAAGGAAAATTTTCCTCATGAAAGATGACATCTCGACTTGAGAAAAATTGATGAGTTTTGAGGTCATATAAACGGTAAGCTTTTTGGCCAATGGGATAGCCAACAAAAATGCATTTTCTGGCACGAGAGTCAAATTTGTGAGTGGGGTGCAGATTTGTTGCATAACAAAGACATCCAAACACTCGCAAGTTAGAATAATTGGGTGGCTTGTTATACAACATTTCATAGGGAGATTTGTATTGCAGCACAGGGGTAGGAAGTCGATTGATGAGATAGGTGGCAGTGAGTAAACTTTCCCCCCAAAATTGCAATGGAAGATTAGCATCAAGCCTTAAAGCCCTGCCAACGTTTAAGAGATGTCGATGCTTGCGTTCAACTACACCGTTTTGTTGAGGTGTAGATTTACAAGAGCTTTGAAATGATATGCCAAGTTTGGAAAAATATGGTTTCATGGATATGAATTCTAAGCCATTATCACTGCGAATACATTTAACTTGGCAATTAAACTGAGTATTGACAAAAGAGATAAAGGTTTTGAGTAACCCTTGTGTTTCAGATTTAAATTGCATGAGGAATATCCATGTGAATCTAGTATAGTCGTCAACAATTGTTAAAAAATAATGTGCCCCTGTATGAGTTGCAGTACGAAGAGGTCCCCAAATATCACAATGAAGAAGATCAAAAGAATGTAAAGTTTGAATAGTACTAGAAGGAAAAGATAGTCGTGTTTGCTTAGCCAAATGACAAGTTTCACACAAATGTTTAGAATTAAATACAAATGAAGGTATAACATGACTCAGAAACTGTGAAGGTGCCTTGGAGGGATGTCCCAACCGCTGGTGCCATGGAATTTTTGGAGTGGAAGCAACATGATAAGTGATCGGTGTAGTAGATGATGCAGATTTTATTGATGGCACGAAGTAGTACAAGCCATTAAGTTGCTTCCCCAAACCAATCATCTTCTTCGAAGTTAGGTCCTGCAGTACACAAAAAGTAGGGAAAAAATGAATAGAACAATTTAAGGTAGCTGTGAGTTGACTGACTGACAGTAAATTGACATGGAAAGATGGAGCACAGAGTATGTTTTTAACATGCATGTGGGCTGAAAGTTGGGTGGAACCTATGCCAGTTATGGCAGAGCAAGCACCATTGGGTAAGGTTACTTGAGAAGAGAGAGGAGAGATAATTGGAACAGATGTGGCTATGTGATTAGTGGCACCACTGTCAATGATCCAGTGACTCAAGGCTTTCTTTTGTGCAGTAAATGAAGAACAGAAAGGGGCAGAACTACCTGTAGAGTTTGCTTGAGTAGATTGTTTACCATTGAAAAAGGCTTTGATTTGAGCAAGTTCTTGAGAGGTGAATTGAGGAGTAGGATCGATGGAGGACTTGTGTGAATCTGAAATGATGGTTGCACTGGCTTGGTGAGCAGTAGTTTTTCTGCTACGATTGGGTGGCTGAACTTCTTTGCCATGTAGTTTGTGACCAACTGGGAACCCATTGAGAAAATAACATCGATCCACAGTGTGAGTAGTGCCTTCACAATAAGAGCAATGAAGAGGTTTTCGATTGCCTTGAGGCTTGGAATGAGTGGAGGACCATTGTTGTCGTTGTCTTGAGGGCATAGTTTGTGACTCCTTGGAGTTGTCATAAGTGTGAATACTCATGGCATGAATAAGATCACTGCTCTTTGTTTCAGTGAGGCCTCGCTGCTTTTCTTCTTCACATAAAAGTGAATATGCCTTTTTGACAGTTGGTAAAGGATGCATGAGCATAATCTGTCCTCGTACAGCAGAATATGTCTCATTGAGTCCCATAAGAAATTGACCAAGGCGAATTCTTTCTTCTTTTTCTTTTAGATCTTTTTTACCTCCACACGTGCAGGTGATTGAGGGGCTACAGGTGGTTAGCTCATCCCACAGCATTTTCATCTTTGTATAGTAAGAAAAAATGGATTCTTGATTTTGTTTCAGTTCAACAATGGATCGTTGAGTTTGATAATGATGAGAAAAATCACCTTGAGAGAATCGGTCTTGAAGATCTGTCCAAATTTCTGAGGGAGTTTCAGCATAGAGAACACTGTGTATAAGATCTTGACTTAGAGAATTGAATATCCAAGAGAGTACCATAGCATTGCAACGCTGCCATAAAGAGTATGTGGGATCCTTTTTCTCTGGAGTGGTAACGGTTCCTTCGATGAATCCCAATTTGTTTTTGGCACTAAGGCTGATCAGCATTGATCGTTTCCACATGGCATAATTGGTTCCATCTAAGACCTTTGGAACAAGGATCAGTCCAGGATGATCAGAAGGGTGAAGAAACAGAGGATCTGCTGGATCAATCGCTGGTGTAGACATATTTAGTTAGAGTATGCGGAATTTTACAGAAGCAATAGGATCATTGCTTTGATACCATGACAAAATAGGAATTAAGAAAGCTCTTTATTTCTCATTTTTTTTTCTATGTTAAAAGACTACAATATATACACATATACAGATCAAGTCATGATCTGATCAGCAAGGAAAGAAAATAAAATCTCAACTAATTCCCTTGAATGAAGGGATTACAAATTCCTAAATATGTGCAGTAAAGATTATTTCCAAAACTAGTGTTAATCAAATCTCAGCAAATCTCAACATTCACCAAACATATAGGGTCTGTTTGGTTTGCGTTTCAAAAAATAGTATCCAAAAATAATTTTTGAGAAAAATTTTAAGAAAGTGTTTTTGAAAATTTTTAGATTACAAAACCTGTTTGGTTTTATATTTTTGAAAATAATTTTAAAGAACAAAAATTATAAAATATATTTTGACAATAATCACAACTCCCATCTCTCTCTTTCTTTTCCCTATCTTTGTCTCCACAAAACACAATCACATACACACACAAACGCATACATTGAAGCATATAGACACACACACACACACAAAACACACACACGCAGACACAGAAAAAATACACACACACACACAAAACACTTGGATCTATGCTCAGATCTATGTAGCTCTGGAGTTGTTGCGATAGAAGAGAGAGAGAGAGAGAGAGAGAGAGAGGCTGGGGCAGTGAAGACACTAGAGAAGAAAAAAAAAAGAAGACACTGGGCAGTGAAGAGAGAGAGAAAGAGAAAAAAAAAAAAAAAGATGTTGGACAGTAAAAATAGTGGAGAAGAAGACACTGGGCAAAGTGGAAAGAGGGAGAGGAAAAAAGAAGAAGAAGAAAAAGACGTTTTGCTTTTAAGGAGACTCGAAAGACAGACCTCATTTAACTCATTTAACTTGTCTCCATATTTTCAAAATTTTCAAAAAAAACTATGAAAATAAATTACGAGTGTTTTTGAAAATTTAAGAATAAAAAATTATTTTGTAGATGATAACCAGCACACGTGCCATATTTTTTTTTATTTTCCAAAAAAATGAAAACAAATAAAAAACGAAAATTTTCTATTATCAAACACAACCTTAGAGTTATTGTTTAAAGTTTAAACCTATGAAAGTGGAATAAGTGAAAAAAAGAAAAAGAAAAAGAAAAAGAACATCCTATTGGTTAGCAGAGGATACAGATGGTGCAGTCTGCAGCAGCAGAGTGAAACCGACAAGCGTTTACTGACTGTCTATTGGAGGGATGACGTGCCGATCCCCACCCACTAGAAATACATATAGCATTTCCCTAATAATACAGTTTTGTTTTGTTTTTAAAAAAAAAATTAGGTGACAGAACAGAACGACTCTGATTTAAGTGGACCCCACTATTGACATATATCTTCGCCCTTTATGAGAGAGAGAGAGAGAGAGAGAGAGAGAGAGAGAGAGACTTACTTCTAGGTTAAGGAAGGGTTTGGAATTGGATGGTCGTTAAGGATCACAAAAGTCAGTCCTGTTTTCAATCCCTGCCTCCTCGTATTAGCATGGGAGTTGTGTGTGTGTTTTTGTTTTTGGTTTTGGTTTGTTCTTAAAGTTAAAACCATACCTCTCTTGTTGAATTTGCATGGATGTCTGTGGAGATCATTACATCTCTGAAGGAAGGGATTGGGATTGGGATTGGGATTTGGATCACCTCTTGGATAACTTCCCGCTACCATCACCGGAGGATCTGATTTTTTTCGATATAGATGTCGATCCCTCTTCCCTTCCCGATGTTTCTTCTGTCAACCAAATAGCAAGTCCGTCTCCGGATTCTGCTTTGCCTTCTTTTGCCATCGGCGACATCGAGCAATTGCTGATGAAAGACGATGACAGACACAGTGACAAATCAGTTGCCGAGGACCCGCTTCCTATGTATGAATCCTGCAACGCCTTCTTGTCGGATATTCTTCTTCATTCGCCTGTTGAATCCCATCGATCTGCCGAAGTTATTGATGTCTCCGAATCCGACTGTAAGAATTCTAATGATTCAGAGGAGGATGAGGATAAAATCCATGCAGGCGAGCGAAAAAATAACGAAAACAACAACGAAGATTGTCATGATGATGATCCAATTTCTAAGAAACGCAAAAGGTACGTTTGTATTGGGGTTTCTTCGCTTTTCTGATTTCTCTACTCAATTTATTTAAGTGGTTTTTTTTTTTTTTTTTTGGGGGGGGGGGGTGTATTTGATGTATCTAGTTGAGTAATGAGACATAAATTCAAATTCAAATTCATTACTTTCTGTACTGTTTATTGGTTAATTTTGACGAGATGGTGACTTTTAATTGTTTTTTTTGGATGTTTTATCTGATAATCCAGGCAACTGAGGAATCGGGATGCTGCTATGAAATCTCGTGAGAGGAAGAAGATGTACGTGAAGGATCTGGAGATGAAGAGTAGGTACTATGAAGCGGAATGCAAGAGACTCGGAATGGTGCTCCAGTGCTGTTTCGCAGAGAATCAAGCATTACGCCTTTCCTTGCAGAATACCAAGGCCTTTGATGCTTATAGGACCAAGCAGGAGTCTGCTGTGCTCGTGTTGGGTAAGAATCCCAAACCGTCTCACTTCAGCTCTTTTATCAATTTTCAGTCTTTCGAAAAGCAAACTCCACATATTTCCACTTTGAAATTGGCATGGGGGTTCACTTACATTTGTATGGGATCCAGGCCATCCAGCCAACAATACTTTATATTCCGCAAATTCTTTTGCAAATATGTTTTATTTTATCAGTTTCTCTCTGTTTGTTTGTTTTTTAAATTACAATTCTCTTTATATTCAAAGTCTCATTGTATCTATTAGAGTGAAAAATTGAGTCGAAATTAAAAGAGCGTTCTATTTCCTATGACGAGCTTGATTTGTTCACAACTAGCTTGTCTGTTGAAAAGCTCTAGGGACTAGTTTATTGATCATGTTTGAGATTATGGCAACCCCATCGATATTAATAGCATTCCATTAAACTGAATAATATATGATTACAAATTACTAAACCCACCACAGTCGGTACCCATTATTAGTGATGAAACCCAACATGTTAATGTATTAACGTATCATGTACATCCTTAATCACAAACTATTCTCATCTCCAAATCTCCTCACCCCAAATGGAAATGGGCAATGAACCCATTGCTATCAACATCTTAATCCGCTCGGCATTTGTTACTGTTTGTGATTCCTTTAGAAAGATCATATGTTTCTTGATAGTGTTAGTCATGTTGGTGGTTGGAGTGGTGGGTGGTGTTGGCAATGGTGGCAATCTTGGAAGTATTGCCCAGTTTATGCAGCGTTATTGACCCATCACTTGAGTCCATGGTGGTGTTATGGGTGGTGGCAGCAACTGAAAGGGTGGACTGAATGGTCAGTGTTGTCCTGTTGCAAGTATACATGAAGATGGTGATGAACAACCAACAAAAGATGGTGATAGCCATTGGCAAACCTGTGGGTTAGAATATATGAGGGGTGGGAGTATGATTGATGATGTAAACATTTGATATATTAAAGAGATGAGTATACAATGAGTTGGTTTAGTCACCAGTGGGGGATGAATTAATGATTTATATTAGTGATGGTATTTTTTATTTTTTTGGGTGTTGGGGATAGATATTTGGTGGGTAGAAATAGCACCACCCATTAACGTCATCATATTTTAACCTTTATTATTGATCAAACAGGTATGATTCCTTGTGGGTCTGGCCTTGCACATTGAAGCGACCCCTTGCCTCATTCCTTTTTTTTCATGTGCCCAAGACTCACTATTCCATTATCTTTGCTTCTCATATTTATGTATTTTTCTTTCTCGAGCCTCCTAGCAATAGTCAAATTGTTCATGTCAAACACCTAATTAATGAGGGTTGTTATTTCGTTTGATTTTCATTAATCAAGGGTACTGAAGAGACATGAAATGGATTGAAATCTACCTTTAACATTCCTTGCACAAACTGGTTGTTCTCGTTCTTGACCAACAATCTTATAGTTGTTAGCACGATACTTTTTCCACTACATGAAGCAATTATTCTTATCATATGCCTACTTGATACCTCAATATTTTTGCCCTCAGGTGTGGAATTAATAACTACCTATATGGCCTTTGAACTACATCGTTTATGTCAATCAAGCCTCTAAACAATGTTTTGTATTAGTTTTGCCCCAGAATTATGCAATCTGACTGAAGGTGACCCTTCCATCAAAATTCCGTCAAAATTTGTCGTTGACTTTGACAAAAATCTTTATGTGTACATCACGTGAGTCAGAGATTTTGTTTTATAATTCAGGAGCCACATAATATGCATGCAAGGGTTTTCATCAAAGTTAACAGCGAATTTGGACAAAAGGGCTTCATTGAGTTCGATTGCATAATTCATGGTTAAATTAATACAAAACATAATTCGGAGGCTTGATTGACACAAATGGTATAGTTTATGGGCTAAATAGGAAGTTAACTCAAAGATTAAAGAATCTATATTGGTTGACCTTTTATCTTTTTTGGTTGACGTGTAGGAGATTCCAATTTGTTTGTTTTGAACTTTTTTCAAGAGCCAACGGCTTTGTTACGCTTCATTGAGCTGTAGAAGACTAATCTGACAAAGTAATTTACATGAAGTGGATGTTAATAACACTGACCTTGGCAATTATGCAGAATCCCTGCTGTTGGGTTCCCTGCTTTGGTTCCTGGGCATCACGTGCCTGTTCATCCTGCCCAGTCAGCTCCAATCGACCCTCTTAGTAGTTCCAATGGAAAACGTGGACAACAAAAGTCAAGAAGGTCTGGTTCAAAGAAAGGCAGGAAGTGAGAATTTTGGACTTCTGGTGTTTCAATCCTTTATGATGAGCAAAAGATGCAAAGCATCAAGGTCAAGAATGAAACCAAGTTCCCCTGCTATTAAACTTTTGGTGTGACGCATGAGGTGTCTCACGTTATATGTACTCGTACTTGAATGTTTAGTTTTTTTTTTTTTTTGTGCTTTCTTTAAGGGTCTTGGAGGGTAGTGCAGTGGACGATCTTTCCCCTCCAAAATTGGATAATAAATATTGAGATTAATAGGAAGAATGGCTGGTGCTGGTGTTTTGATGGAGTTTTATGAGCAACATGTTCCCCTCTCTTTCTAGAAAGAACTATAATATGTAACGTTTGTTGAACTCCTAGTACATGATAACGTTATATTTCTCTTACAGGTTAACTCGTTTGGATTAGACTCATTTTCAGGATTTCAAAATTCATGGAAATTCAGTGTTGCTATATCATTATCATTACCGCAACGGTCTTTTAGGATGATGGATTTGTTGCTCAATTGTGACATAGAACTCAACGGAGTTGATGACCACTCGGACATATAGCAAGTTTCGGTCTGTGGGATTCACGGGGCATGTGGTTTATTCTCCCTGGTTGCCTAATAATACCATTGATTTACTTTGTCTTATGGGGATAAATACTTGGTGGCGTTCTCCAACCAGTGGCAATCACGAAAACTGGGTTTAGCCCTTTAGGAAAGGGTGGAAGGGAGATTTAAGAGGAAGGGAAGGCCAGTACATCTTCATAAAGATGCAATCCTATATCCTTTACGAAAATTACTGTACTGCCACTGCCAGCCAGACAAGCAACGGGATACAAATGTCTCATCTCCAACTAAATGTGTGATATCTCACATTTACGGTATTTGGTTCGTCTTCTTTGGACTCAGTAATCACTATAATCTTTTCGAACAATAAATTGGAAGATTTCTTTCGGGGAAAAGAAATAAATTGGAGCAAGGCTTGATGATCTCCTTAGATTAAAATGAGCTGATAGCTTTTGACGTGGAATTACTTGAGGAGGTGTCTTTTGGTGAGGTGAAACATTATACCCCATTGGAGTGTTGAGATTGCCCTCTCTTTTCTAGACAGGCAACGTGAACTAATGTTCCAAGTTTAGAAGATTGTCCGTTTAACCTTTTAGCTTTAAGGTAGATCAGCATAGCCAAAGAGACGGTAACGATTTTCGTAGGTGTGGGGAAACATTCTAAGCACCACCATCGTAGTTTCCCTGTTTCAGAATCATCTTGGATTGTTATTTCACGCAAACCAAAACAACTGGAGCTTGCGGTGAAGACACTCAGCCTGGTCATATTCATTGTCCTCCTAAAATCAAACTTAACAGGATTTAAAGTCAATCACAAAGACTTATACTATGAAATACACACACCCCCCCCCCCCCTCCCAAAAAAAAAAAAAGAAAGAAATAACAACAACAATCCACTGCTTAACCATTAGAACATAGGAATGGCAATTACACGGTCAAAGCTTTGCAAGGGGAAGGAACTGGTCATAAAAAAACACTCATACAGGCACGAGCTAGCACACTTGACCTCAAAAAAAAAAACAAAAAAAACAAGTGATCTGCAGGATAAGCAAGGAATCCAGATGATCCAATAATTCGGAGATGGATAGTTTGTCATTAAAACCTACAAAGAAGACAATTAAGAATCTGGCTAATGATGGTGATCGTGTGGTGATTGTTAAGATAAATGGTTGGGTGTTGTCAACCCGGAGGACATATGAAGGAGAGGGTCCCAGGAGAGATTATCACTACCACCCCAATAGTTGTTGTGACAGCGGACAAACTGCTGTTCGGGGGCCAAACAACTCCAGTTGCTCCATTCATTTGAGGCATAGCCATTGGCAAGCTTACGCCGCCTACTTTCTCATCCTTCCCTGTAAACACTCCTCCAAGCTGATAGTTATTACCTACAGCAGGGTAGGACAAATCAACCATCGGTTGAGTTTTCCCTGAAAGTTGGGTTGCACCACCAGTGGTCCTGATCATGGTTGTCCTACTGAACAAATCGCTTTCCTATGGAGATGGTTCAGCTGCGTATGAAACCAAGCTCTTCAGGAGCCTGGATCATTAGGCCACACCAGCC